GCACACTGCGTTACATGTGTCGCGCGTTTCCCTTGTCTCGCTTCAACCTGGAAAGCCTTTGCTCTGTGGTGTCACAATGACCGTGTAGTGACATGGGGGCATCCTGCCTACGGCTCCGACAGCTCTGGTGTGTGCAAGCGCCTGCGCAAAGTGGTGCAGATCGTTGCCAGCGGCCGCGCTTTTGCCGCGGTGACATCATACGGATCTGTTGTTACCTGGGGCTTGCCGAAGATGGTTGCTGACACTGCAATGGTACGGCAGCAGCTCTATGATGTGAGAAACGTGACTGCAGCTGCCCAGGGCGAGACACAGGTGCCAAAACCCAAAGCTCATTGAGTTTCTTGTGCCCACTTGGAAAGTCACGCACAAGGAATTGGAGCTCATGGAAAAGAACTTGATTTCGAAAGGGGGGCGCAACGGGGTCCCACCTGCCCAGAAATGCTCTTGGTTCAAAGATGTTGTCCAGGATGGTGACGTGCACCCGCATCCAGGGCCATCAGGACGCAGCCAGCAGATGCAGCTCATGTCTATTAATGTTGGTGGGGCCTCCAACTGCTGGGCGGCGGCCCGATGGGCAACTAAACATCGCCCGCCTGTGGTGGTGGTACAAGAAGTTTGCATGAACACGGCTAAGCAAGCTGACTTGGCTGACTTTATGCTCCGAAATGGTTATAGATCTTGGTTTGCTTGCCCTCCGACCCACGGTGGGGTAGGAATTTTTGTAAGGTTTGATAAATCTGCACACCTCCTCAGAACTCACACCCGTGCCGAAGGTCAAGCGGTCATGCTCCAGCTCGACCACGCCATCCTCATAGGTGCCTATTTAGCGCCTAACTCAGCGGCATGCGACATTGCTTCCACTTTGGATGAATGGGTTGGAGCAACTGGTGAACACACCCCTTTGGTTATTGTGGGTGACTTTAACGAGGAACCTTGTTTTGGGGAAAGGTGGAACCACATAAGCGGATTTGGCGGCACTTGTGCGGTTTGCAATCAGAATGGTGTCCCACAGCCCACGCAGTGGTCTGGTACCCGGTGTATTGATTGGATTTGGGCTTCGCACTTGCTAACAATTGACAAGGTGCGATTTGAAGATGTTTGGTTTTCCGACCATAAGCCCGTTTGTTTTTCTCTGCAATATAGCCAAAGCCATGTTTGGTCCTTTAAGGCAGTTCAAACGAGGAAATGGACGGCGCCGCCAAATGTTTCTGTGCAAGAATGGAAAAATGCTTTAAAAACTCCGTGGTCGGAAGTCACGGTCCCTCCAGTTTCTAATACCAACCAAGAATGGAGTGATTTTTGTCACATTGCGGAGAGAGCACACCTCTCTGCCCTGGAAACCTGCGGGGCTACTGTTCCAAGGCCAAGCCGGAGTAGAAACAAAGGTTCAGAGTTTCAAGTTGAAGCAGCGAATGCTCGTACCTTTCGCATCGCCCAGCAAGCGACTTTCAAAGAACTCCGGCTGCGCAAGCTTTTGGGCCGTATTGCTGAAGCCCAAAACCAGCAAAGCCGTGACCGCCAGCCACCGGCCATCCTGATCCGTCGTATCTTCTCTCATCCTTTTGTTGTCAGAGAAGGCTTGCAAAGCTTAGGTGAAGCCAGGGAATGGGCACAGCAAGAATTGCGTAGCCATGTCCAAAGCACTCAAACAGAGCAGCTCCAAGCTTGGCGCGAGCGTATGAGGTCCAGTTGCAAAGACGCAGGTCGGTGGGTCAAGAAATGCAACACATTGCCTGTCACTTCTGTTTACGATGATGGTTATAAACAAGGAAAAGCAACCTCTTCTGATCATGAATCCTTAAAGGCTGTTCTTTCTTTTTGGCAAAAAATTTGGGAACGGGACCGGCCCGACCCTGAAGAAGCAGTTGATTTCTGGAAACTTGGTGTTCCCCAACCTTCACCCCTAGCTTGGACCCCTCTCACTGCTGAGGAACTCTTCAGCCAAGCCTCTAGGCTGCGTGGCACAGCCGCCGGATGCGATGGGTGGTCAGGTGACGAAATTGCAGCCTGGCCTAAAGAAGCTTGGGTCATCCTGGTTGAGTTGTTGACCAGATGGTTCTCGAGAAGTGAGGTTCCCACGGTTTGGAAAAGTATTCGGCAAATTTTGCTCCAAAAACCAAACGCTAAGTTGCGTGACACGGATCACGCGTTGCCAGCCAAAGATTTGCGGCCAATTGCGATTCAGAGCGTCATCTGGCGCGCCATTGCCTCTGCGTGGACGCGCAGACCGCAGACGCGAGCTTGGGTCACGAGCTGGGTCCACTCCTCAGCCTGTGGCGGCATCCAGGGGAAAAGTGTTGCTCATGCCGTTGATCGGCTGCTTCAAGACTTTGAAAAGAGACAGGGCGGGGTCCTCCTTTCTTTAGATTTTTCTAAATGTTTCGACACCGTTGATCCCCGAATTGGAATTAAATGCCTTGAGTATCTAGGTTGCCCCAAGGAAATCCTCTTTGCTCTTACCTCAGTTTGGAGCCAGGAAAGGTGGTTGTGTTTCAGAAGAGATTGCCTGCCGCAGCCAGTGCAGGTCGACACTTCGATCCCTCAGGGAGACGCCATCAGCCCTTTGACTCTTCTTGCAGTCCTCACTGGCCTCACAGGCCGGGTGTTGCAAGCAAGGCCTGAACCACACACTTTGGCACCTTTTTGGATGACCGAAACATGGTGGCTAAAACGCCCGAGCTAGCGGCCCAGTTGTGGGACACCTGGAAACAGCTCTCACCGAAGGTGGGTTTGAAAGAGAACGAAGAAAAAATTCAAATCGTGGCTCGGCAAGCTGCCTTTAAGCCCAGATTGATTGCCGCGGGTTTCGACGAAACTCACATTGTGCAAGGTGCTAGAGTTCTAGGGGTTGATTTTACGGCACGGTTAGGAGCTGCGCACAAGCCTTCTCAAGATGCGAGGCTGCAAGATGCCCGCTTGAGGGTCGAAAGAATTGGACTTCTGCCTGTTACAGCCAGTCTTAAAGCTTTCTTGGTCAATTCTTTGGCAATTACAAAAGCTGCATGGGGGGCTTGGCTCAAACCCCTCTCTGCCAAACCTTTGTCCACTTGCATTCGAAAAACGACTGGTGGCAGCCATATTGCTGGCTCCCCCAATTTGTTTTACATGCTCTCAGGTCATAGGCTGAACTTAAATTTTGCTGCAGGTTTCGGAGCTTATATTCACTTGGCTCCTATTGTGCGTGAAAACCCACGGCGTTGGCCCAATGCTGCTACCAGAGGTACATGGCTCGGCACGGTCCGTAGCTGGCTCCAAAGTTTGAATTGGCACGAAGAGGCCGCATGGACATGGATTCACCCGGACATTCAATTCCGGCTTGATTGGACACAACCCATTGATGAAAACACCAAACAGAGAGAACACCATGCTTTGCGTGAAGCGTGGCGCAGACAACAGTTTCAACAGTTCTTGTCAAGTGGCCGTCGTGATGCCACTGCTGTACAAGGAAGTGTTTATCAAGAGGCCAGGGCCAAACTCACGCGCCAAACATACCAGTCTTCCAACACTCACTCACGTGCTTGCTTGATTGGTGCCGTTGTTTCAGATGCCCGTTTAGATAGGATTCGAGACCCCAACACCGCACCAGCTCCTTGCAAGTGGTGTGCGTCTGGCAATGTGCCAACATGGGATCACTTGGCCTGGGACTGCCCAGCCTTTGCTGCGACCCGAACGTCGCCCCCGCATGATCTTTTGCAGAGAGTGCTAGGTTGGCCAACAGGCCGGAATGAACAGGTTGATGCTGCGATCTTGACCCACTTGGGCTGTGTCCGAGAGCGTGTGTTTGGATCGAAGATATCGCAGCAACTAAGGTTCTTGAATTTCTTGGGTCGCAGTGTCTACTTGGCCTGCTGCCTTCCAACTATGATTACATTTGCCGCCCTTCGTCATGATGGGTCTGTCGTCACCTGGGGTGATCCGTCGTGTGGCGGAGATAGGGCAAACTGAAGGGAGTGACGCAGATTCACTGCACGCATACTGCATTCGCTGCCATTGTGTTGGATGGGTCCGTGGTTGCTTGGGGAGACCCTATAGTAATGGAGGAGACAGCTCGATGGTCCAAGACCGACTTCAAGGCATTGTGAATGTTCAGGGCCTTATGCATTTGCAGCTGTCACGGAGGAAGGGTCGCTTGTCACCTGGGGAAAGGCCACCTTGCGAGGCGATAGTTCTGTGATACGAGAAAGTCCGGCAAGTCACACCCTCTTTGAAAGGGTTCTTTGCCAATGCTGACGGATGTCAAGTTACATGGGTCTGCCAAAGCGTTTGCAGCAGTGCGCTACAATGGATCCATTGTTACATGGGGAGCGCAGGACGGAGGCGGGGACAGCTCCGCAGTGCAATCTGCGTTTGCCACTTTCTAGTTGCAGTGGCCATTAATGTTGCTACTGCAGCTGCGGCAAAATTAGACATCTTCACAAACTTGGACATATGGTATAGACAAACAGGTCTGCGGCACAGCCTGCTATGGTGTAAAAATTTGCGATGGGAAGCTGGGCGCAATGGTAATCTAGTGGTCGAAATAGTCGGGACATCCTCTCAATTCCTCAGATGCACTGTCTGCTGCAGCTGCCCTGCATGCTCAGAGAACCTCATGCTTTTTAACTACAGTGTGGTGTAGCATTTGCTTGTCTGCGCCTATCTTCATCCGTTGGGCTCAAATTTAGGCACGTATTGTCAACCTGTGCTCTCCGAGCCGGGCGATTGACGTAGACATCGTGACATTGAGCTGATATGTAGATGTACGTGTTCATGCTGTCAACAAGATCATCATTGTTATTTACAACCTTGTAGCTCTGCTTTGAAGCCGTGGCCGACGAAGCACAAGCGACTCGGCGAGCCTTCACCATTCAGGGGCCGCAGGTTGCCTTAGCTATGCTGCGAGGTTCCAAACGTATAGAATCTCGGAAGAGGCGGATGGCATCTGACTGGTACTATTTTCACGTTGGCCGTTAGTCAATCAACAGCTTGCCCCCCGAATGTTCGGCCGCCCTGCGCCAGACATGGCCGGATGCGCCAGAGGAAGCTTCTTTGTCCAAAAGTTGCGTGGTTGGGATGGTGTGCCTAGGGAAGGTGATTCACAAAAGCCGAAGTTGGCAAAAGCACCAGCATCAGAAGCCTTGCAGGCCAGCACAAGCCCGCAGAGGGGACCTGACCGTTGCAGTCTTGCCCAACGGCTGGCAGCAGGAAGGACGTTGGAGCTGCTGACAACACTGATGGTAGTGCATTTCCTGAAGATCTGTGCTGCCAAAGTCACACAGTTGCAGCCCAGAGGAGGTCTCTTTGCTTTCCGGGACGATCAGCCGGTGTTCATTCTGAGTGTATGGACAAGCAGAAAAATTACTTTGGCTGATGTGGTTCCATTGAAGCAGGCAACTTTTCAAGGACGAACCGTCCTCAAAGCCAAATACACAGAGACCCGCACATGCAGATGGAGTGAGCTCAAAGATGTCGGCTTACATTTCCAGGTTGCCAACTGTGCGAATGATCGCCGTGGAGCGAGTGGCTTGGCCTCGATGTTTTTTTGTAACATGTTGCCATCCTTTAAAGAGAGACCCGCAACAGATTGTTTTTATGTAGCCTTGCATGCCTAGGCTTGCTGTTCCAGAAGCAACCGGGGGAAACACAAGGAGATCAAGGCAGAGCTTTGCGCGAGAATGCAGCTTTGGCAGCTCTCTGGCAGGCTGGCAATGCAGAGCTAGGTTTGGCCACTTCATGCACAGTTGATCACTCGGTGCGATCCGTTCTGCCACGTTTGCAGGCGCACCTGGCCGAACGAGCTGCTTCAGGTATTACCCATCACGCGGCCCCACGCGCAGATGAGAGCCGTTCCTTTTGGATTCTGGACCTGCCATTGCCAGTGCAAGTGGATGGTCGCCGCCATCGCTGCCATACGTGCGCGCACTTGCGCATCTTCGACAACTGCACCGTGGAGACACATGATGTTGTTGCAGCCTATCCTGACCTGCCCTGCTGGTGCACTACGTGAAGAAGCAAGCCCCTTTTTTGCTGACACGGCGATTCCTGCTCCATTTGGTGCAGCTGTTCTACGACCGCCTCAACTCTAGGGCAACGAGGCGGGCTTTGGTGGAGCAAATCTGTGGCAATGCTCTTTCCCTCAATGTAGCTGGGCGCATGAAAGAATTTTGCAGTGCAGTGCCCAAATCTGTATCCATCCGCTCCATTCTCATGGCAGCATTGGAAGATTACACCAAGGCAGCTTCACGCGAGATGCAGCGGCTCATCAATGTGTACAGTGGTTCAGTGATCAGAGGAGATGGAAACCAGGATGTAGCAAAAAGGATTACAATGTATGATGAAGCAAGTCAGAAAACACACCCATATACGGTGCTCCTAGCTTGGGTCACGGTAGACGGGGCCTTGTTTCAGCCTGTAACAGCAGCTGAAACAGAAGACTGGGTCGACTTGCAACCTGATCTGGATGCTGTGGTAACCAACCTGAAACAGGACAGGCTGGCATCAGGCCTGTCCTTAGCTGAGGCAGCCCCAGTAGCTCACGCCACGGACAGTTTCAGAAAGCAGCGATCGCTGCTTGATGCATTTTACAAAAACAAGTACCCCAAGGAGCAAGAGGTGGAGGCGTGTCTCCAACCATCGTATGCGGAGATCCGCTGCATGACCAGTTGGCGCTACAGCGCAAGGTAAGTGCAGCGAGTCCAGATGCCCCATGCCTCATTGCTGATCACAAAGACATCCTGCAGCGGTTGTCCTTGAAACCAAGGGTGGCAGAAGATGTTCCACCTGTGCTCTCTGAGCCAGGTCTTTTCCTTGAGCTTGAAGAGGCCATCATCCTCTATTGAAGTCGGTGGTTGAAGATCTACAGGACCGTATTGCTGCAGCACAGGTGATAAGAAATCGCTTCTTTCTTGCTTTGTTCTTGCTTGGACAGATTTGGACAGATCGGACAAGTTTGTGAAGCACGGCAGAGAAATATTGATCTGCTATGATCTGCTCGTCGGTTCCCCATACCGGATGTCCACTGCTGCACTGCATGATCTGACTGTTGCCAGCTATTCGCCTATATGTGCCTCTGTTGCCTTTGTTTTGGTTGAAAACTCGGGTCGACTGAATTAGTTCTGTCTACCTGTGTTCTCGGAGCCGGGCAATGTCAGGACAGTATATCATTGAGTCATTGAACCTATTAATGCAACACAATCACACACACACAAGCAGCATCAGAGTCACCCTTTTAAAGCCTCTAGCCCTATGTTAATGGCAACGCAGCGCCCTTTCTGCTGACGCCGCAAGATGCTTCCCCCCGGTGATGCTGGGTATGGAATTTGGCCGGGCAATTTTTATTGTGGTGTGCGATCCATGGCTCCGTTTGGTGCGTGGCTCCCTTGGCAGGAGGGTGTGACCTTAGCTGCAGCCTTTGGCTTCACAGAGAATGTATGCTTTGAATGTGCTGACACCTGGTTGCAGCTGGATGCTCTGGAATTTGACCCTCCAAGGCGGTCTGGAGATGGCAGCGGCCGGGCAGATGTGCAGCGGATTCGCTTGCTCTACAAGCCTGATTTACACGGAGATGATGGGCTCGTTATAGTTTCCTCTGACGAGGAGGATGTCATCTCCCCGCAGCATGCTCCACCAGACGTATGTACATAGACGCTGGCGTTCAGGTGCATTAGAGCCCCATTGCGGGTGTTGAAGTTGACCTTGCATTGCCGCGGGCGCTGGATGAGCAAAATGTTCGTCTCTTGCTTGTCTACTGGCACCTGTACAGTCAAGTTGATCAAGAACGTCCGCCTAAAAATTTGCCGCCAGACATTCCGCTATGGGCTTGGGAGTTGTTTTCAAAACCAAGATTTCATTGGACTGAGGCTCGGGTTCAAGCGTTGCAAGAATCTTGTTTGCAGACGCTGCAGGCCGCAGACCACAAATTATCCGTACCTGATTAGCGCCGCGCTGGCTTCGTCCACTGCGACCTGTGGGTCTCAATGGCATGGACGATATTGTGCTCTCAATCGCAAGAAACTTCCAGAAAGCAGTCCTTTTGTACACTAGGCCAAGCAGTTTTTGATAATGTCGCGAGGTTAAAAAATTCGCTGCGCGCTGCAGAAGTGTTGAAACTGAGAGATGTGGAGGGCATGTGAACATTTTCACATTGTTCCGGCTGTCCACGCAGCGCAGCATGAGAGCCAGTTTGGTTGCATGGAGTCGATATCACGCTTGGGACTGCAAAGGCAAATCCGACAAATATGACCATGATACCACGCATTGACAAGTGCTCTCCGGTACCCAAGCCGCGCCATCAAGTTCAAGTTGTAGGAGTTAGCTTCCTAGACATGGCCACGTGTGAAGTTTGTGGAGATGGTTTCGCAGACGATGCGGAAAAACACTTGTGCTCCCCGAGCCGAGACTCTTGCTCGCACGTGTGCCACGCGGATTGCTTGCAGCAATACCGATTAAAGCAGGGCTGCCCTATGCATGACTGCCCATTCTGTCTTCAGAATGAAGATTCCCAGGAAGAGGCTGATGATGCCGCTTTGCAAGAGATGGAGATTGAGGCAGCAATGGAAGCAGAGGCTGTGGCTGAGGGGGTAAAAAGAAAGACCAGAGGACAACGCAGCCCAGTGCCGCCCACCCAAAGGTCCCCAAGCCCAGAAAGCCCTCCCTTCACACAGGGTGGAAGTGAAGCAGCCCGCTTGTCCATTCCAAGCTTTGGGATTGACATCTACGGACCTGAGTCGGACCAGCAAGGCATCTACCACGGTGAAGGATCCTATGCACGACGCCATGTCGGAGTACTTGGCTTGCAGGGATGAAGCACAAAGCCTTTCGTTGCTTCACACCAAGAGCACATATCAAGGGCTTGGAAGCCCAGAGGCTTCTTATCAAACCGTTCTGAATGCAGCCTTGAAAGACCCCAGGGACCACCACGCTGTGGCATCAGACTTTGCCTTCAGAACTCGAGAAGTGCTGCCCGTGCCTTTCGAAGTCAGCTTGAAAACCATTGCCCGCAAGGAAGGTTGGGAGCCTGAGACATTCATGGCGCCTATCCTCAGCAACATTGGTTGGATGGAGCATCCATGCAGGCACGCGGCTTCGATTGCAGCCTGATGAGGAGCACCGACGTGGCTGCGTAGTCTAGATTGTTTGCGCAGGTGACCCCAGCATGCGCAAGAGTTCTTTGAAGGATTTTACCAGCAAAAAGCTTCTTTCCCATGCAGATGTCCCTGCTGTCATCAAGGCAGGTGGCGCCACATGCACGGATGCCACCATCAAGGGTATTCGTGCTTCTATCAAAGAATATGCCCGAGCTGGCATCATTTCGGATGAGATTGCCACAACAATATGCCGTGACATCCGGGAGGGAGACCCGACACTCAGGTCTGCATTACGGCAACAAAGAAAAGATGTGCACTTGGCTGAACTGCGAAGATGACAAGACAGTCACTGGAGATGGTGCCACGGCGCTGAGTCATTACACCCAAGTGTATGGACTGGTGTCGCTTTGTGAGTATGTGCTCCAGCCGACTGCAAGCATGTTTTCCAAGAGAATCCATGCGACGTGGCAAACAAGGCCAGTGACAAGTGACCCTGATCAGCAGAGCCAGTCCAGCAAAGAGTTCCTGATTGACTTCTTTGGTTGGATGGGGCGCGTGGCAAGCAACCAGGACAAAGACCACTATTTTGACAAGTTCGCCTTGCCCGTGCTCAGGAAGGCTTTGCAGGGAATCTCCGACTTCTTTCACGAGAATCACGAGAATGTAGAAGAACCAATCTAACAGAAGCTACGCTATGCTGACACAGATGTGGCTTGGTACGCTAATGCAGCCATGCGTTGCAGGCAGTATTCTGAGGCCCGCTGCGCGTTGGCCCTTGATAGGATCATAGATGAGTTTGCCGTTGAGATGACCGTCTTCGATTTGTGACATGCCTTGCATATCTGGCGTCGCCAAATGTGCTTGTGGTTTGCCTTCTATCGCTCCAAGCAAGTCCAAGCCTTGGTAGGCCCCAAAGCCGTGCCAGATGTCAAGACCCCAGGACTTGCAGATTTGGATGCCAAGATGAAATTGCAGCGAGTTCATTCTGTCCAATCCTCGATGTGCTGGTCCAACCTCCACTGCGCACATTCGCTCTGTTCTGAAGTACCACTTTCAGAAGGAGAAAGAGGAAAAACCAGCAAAGTACGTCTTGGCAGCAGTCAAAGACCTCTTGAAAGTTGGCATCTTGCAAGAGGTTGACAAGAAGGAAGTGGAAGAACAGGCGCCCAAACTTAAGGACAAGAAAAGCGCCAAGAGCAAGGAGGCCACGCTAAAGAGCGAGCCACGAGGCCCGCCAGGTGGCCACGCTGTCCTGTACTACCAGACATGTGCCTGGGAAGACCTTTTGACTAATTCGGAAGCTCAAGACATGATTGCCAAGCTGCAACTGAGTGCCAATGATTTCAAGTAGGATTCCAGAAATACGAGGTCTTGCACGGTCCCATGTCTAAACTGTCAGCCCAAAAAAGAGTGACAATGTGCTCCAAAGCACTTGTTGTATATAAGTCTTGTTTCCAAAGATACGCGTCAATAATGGTGCGATTCCCCGAGCGTGTTCCTGACCCTACGAGGTGAATGCTTTCAATCAAGACGGTATGGTGGCTGCAACATATTGTGCGTCAATTTCAATCAACCCACCCATTTTCATGACAAGACATTGTGGTGTGAAGATCTTACATAGTGGTTCATCATCGTGTCCAAAGCCGCATTCAAAACAGTCTGCTTGGCCTTTTAGTGTTCAATCGTGTGCGCTGGTGGCATGAGATTGACAAAGGCCCAATCTACTCTTTTTGAGGCAAAGCGGACAGCCAACACCGCGGCTCCAAAATAGTTTGTGCGGCGCATGTGAAGCCACTGTTCGCTGAACATAGCCGTTCGAGATGTTGAAGCAAGACACATGTTTTATTTTTTCCTGATCAAGTCCAAGAAAGAATTGAAACTTGCACCTGTTTATTCTGTTTTCTACCATTTCTGTTTTCTACCATCCTTTCCGACTGCGATATAATTTTTCTGCTGCATGGGGGAATTAAAGAAGACTCACGGGAGTCCTGTCCACACCGATCATGTCGCTGACTCCTGCGTCTGCAGGTGCCGATGCTAAGTGGCACCAGGACAATGGCTTCTACCTTAGGGATTCAGCAGATGCTGATGCCAGCATGCGTGATGTTGGTGCGCAATCAAATAGAGATGGCACAATAGTCCACTCCTCACTGTGACCATCGGGTCTGTGGTCCCGCGGTGCAAGTGCACTGCGCGTCGGTGCGCATTGCCGGAATGGCTGGAGGTTGCTTCCGGTGATGCTTGATGCTTAATATCTTAATGTCACATTGGTGTCATGTAATGTTCAACGCAATTTTTCTAGGACATGTTTAAACATAGTCGATCTTTGTTTGGTCTCATACAGACCTTGTACAAAAGGATCTTGCACAGCAGCGCCTAGAAAGAACCTGTCAAGGAGATCTTGCACACGTCTTCTACAAAGGGAACTTGCAGAATCCAATCTGGTATTGTTGCAACGGTGTTTGGAGTCGCCACTTAATCCCCGTCGGCCGCTCCACTCGCCCCACTCGCCCCCTCGCTCCACTCGCCCCACTCGCCTCACTCGCCCCACTCGCCCCACTCGCCCCACTCGCCCCACTCGCCCCACTCGCCCCACTCGCCCCACACGCCCCACTCGCCCAAACATTCCATTCACGTTACCACCTCTATTCCTTTTTCATACTGCTGTGTGGTGAAACCAAAGCAAGCGGGGCAAGCGGGGCAAGCGGGGCAAGCGGGGCAAGCGGGGCAAGCGGGGCAAGCGGGAAGAACCACCGATCTTCCCTCGGTTTGCAAGTAGGGCAAGCGGGGCAAGCGGGGCAAGCGGGGCAAGGAGGAAGATTCACTTATTTTCCCTAGAAGCGGAGCAAGCGGGGCAAGCGGGGCAAGCGGCAGAAATCACTTAGCGGCCCCGCGGGGCACCCACACTGTAATATATAGTAATTGTCTAATGTTAATTAGTATTCATCAATCATCAATATAACCAGACAGAATGAGAATGTTCCATTTAATTAATGTTCCATTGATCATGCTCCACATATCCATATATAGATATAGTAATTGTCCACTTATTGTAAAATACACGTTCCATTCCATTGCACTAGTTTGTTTTATCCATTTTATCTTATTGACGTTCCAGTACCTAGTTAATCATCTGGTTTTAGTAGATCCATAAATATTTTCAATATATCCTATCATAAATTATCTATAGACAAGTCCTATGAGTCCTATTATAGATCTATCTGGGTAAATTATAGCGACCTCACTGTTCTCCCTCACTGGAATCATGGTTTTCATAGGGGAATCATCCCAAAATGGCCCTTCACTATTCAGGTTAGTGAAATATTATGGCCTTTACCCAGATCTATCATAGATCTAATGACCTATTATAATCCATAGATCTCGATCTTTCTCATATGGATATTCTAGATAGTCCATAGATTTTCATAGGAATTCACTCCATACCCTCTGTTAAACGTTTACGGTTTGTAGTTCGTTGATTTGCCCAGCTAGAAAATGGTGGATCTTTCCATAGTTGTGACTGTAACGTTTACCCATTTACTTGAGGGTAATGGATATTCCATAGATATTCCCCATATCATCCGTCCATCGGCGTTCGGGGCCCAGGCTTTTGTTCGGCTCCTTGGGTCTGGGCATTGGCTTGGCACTTGTGGCTGGGATTCGATGTGGGCGACTTTTTTTGGGAAAAACCTCGGGGAAAACATGTGGAACGAAATAAACCCTCTGGTAATTTAAAATAGCTATGGAAAACACCATTTATTATAGGTAAATCAACTATAAATGGCAATTTTCCATGACTATGTCAAATAACCAGAGGGTATCCTCTGGTAATTTAACATATGGAAAAACACCATTTATTATAGGTTCAATGAACGAAATGGCAAATTTCCGCTATGTTAAAGTACCAGAGGGTATATGGATGTAGATTCATAGGGGTTTACTAATGGAGGTTTACTATCTTGGCCTATCTTGCCTTTAGACTTGATATGGAGGTTTACTATCTTGACTTTAGACTTTGTTTATTAATTGGCTAACATTTCTTGGTGATATGAAAAAGGAGGAATTGAAGATTCACTGGAGATTGATTGGAGAAGCAATGGGTAAGTGGAGGATGAAGTGTTGGAGGTCTACTATGTAACTTGACTTTAGATTGGATAACATACTGTGGATGGTTGCGAAATCCTGCACCAACAGGATGGTTGAAACCTTATTAAAGATGGGATGTTTACCATCTATGAACGCAGGATTTCGCTGGCCCATCCACCGTATGATACTTGGTGCAGGAATCATTGGTAGTCGAATACTTGGAGATGGATTGGAGAAATTTGATTCTTGAAACTGTAGATTGATTGGGATTGACAGGATTTACCGGGAATAAACAACCAATTTGATGATCGTTTTTCGTACAAAACTCTTCAGTTTCATAGCCTTGAATTAGAGTTTGGATCTAACATTATGTACGTATCATATGTATATATATATATATATATGGTATGGTATGGTATGGTATGGTGTGGTGTGGTGTGGTGTGGTGTGGTATGGTATGGTATGGTGTGTGTGTGTGTCTGTATGTATATGTAATGTAATGTAATGTAATGTAATGTAATGTAATGTAATGTAATGTATATAATGTAATGTAGTGTAGTGTAGTGTAATGTAATGTAATGCAATGTAATGTATATATATATATATAGAGAGGTAAGGATAGACAGATAGTGTTGTTTTTCTTTCGGTGGTTCCTATGATTCTCGGATTCAAGTCTTCTGAGCTTTCACAGAGTGGGGGATGAATCTGGAAGATTGAAGCTGGGTGCAGTGTCTCACTCTGCAGGAGAACCTAATACTGATTTAGTCTTTCTAACACATCAACGGTTTTGACCCATCAATATCCTAAATATAGTCCAAAACACATGTGTATATATATATATATAGTATTTAAAGATGATGATGATGATCATGATGATGATGATGATGATGATGATGATGATGATATACATGTATTTAATATAAATATAAATATATATATAATACATAATATATTATATAATATATTATGTATGATATATATGTATATATAATGTACATCTACAGGGTTTTCCAAATCCCTGCAGCATATTTTTTTCCTCGGCAACGCCATGGATCCTTTCGGCCGGATCCGCCAGTAGGTGCTAGTTCTCATCATGAGATTCACACGCCTGGGCCGATCCGCCCACAACGCCATCCTCTTCCTGCGCCTCTGGCGGCCGCCAAGGTATGGGGACGTAAAACATGGGTAAAACACGGTCATTTTGACCACCCAATTGGGAATGGTAACCATACCACCCTATAAAAATGGTGATTTGGGGATTGGTAAAAGTTGTTGTTTTACCAAAAAAATATATGGGAATTCTTGCGATATTCTGGTTGTGGGATTGTTTTTTCTGGGAAATTTGGGTGGATGTTTATTATTTACATTGGATGTTGGGTTTGCCAATGTTTCCCAGTATAGCTGCAAACGCGGGAATGAGGTTATATCAAGTGGAATATGATGGGATATACAGTACAATTAATGGTTTAATTTTCTCTCAATGGATTGGTTTGTTCAAAAATGTCTAGAGTAAACCACCTTCATATCCCAGGCAATGAATTTGCCGGAAAGCAAGGGGATTCTCTCCCAATTCTGCCATAAGATACCCTTGCTGGTTATGAATGTCAGATATAGCTCCTTGATTCACTGGGATTGTTATCACCCATTGTACTTGGAATGCCTATTAAGGAACCATTTTTGGCTGGGGTGGTGCAGCATTTGCTGGGATCTTGCAGCACAGCACGGGGGGGTAAGCCTTGGGGGAGTGAAACGGTGAAACTGGTGTGATTTTTCTGTGATGGTTCTGTGATGGTTCAATGGTTAACAAAAAAACAATTAGCTGCTGGTAAACATACAAAAAACCATGGAAAATATTGGAACATCACATTTTTTACTGGGTAAATCAACTATAAATGGCTGGTTGGTGGCTTTGGAACATGACTGGATTATGACTTTCCATAATATATTGGAAATGTCATAACCCCAACTGACGAACTCACTCCATCATTTTTCAGAGGGGTAGGGCGAGCTCAACCACCAAGCAGTGATGGTTTAATGATTTTCTCCCAGGTTTAAACAGCAAGGTCTGATTAAGATACTGTGGAGGAAATCCTGCACCACCAAAAGGATGGTTGAAACCCGTTGAAACCCCAACGAAATCATGGGATGTTTACCACCGTTTCCAACTGGTGATTCGGATTTCGCTGGCCCATCCACAGTATGATGACATTTCCTCGCATTTTTTTCCAGAACTGGCTTGGATTCCGACCATCCCCAAGGTTAAGGCGGACTAGTGGACTACAGTTGGTCATTCGTGGAATGGCGGGATGTGTAACAATAATGTTGCCAATCAACATCACCCTGTTGATTCATGTTGATTCTTACTTTACAGATCTGCAGATCTGATTGGGATTTTAACCGTTGGAAAAAACACGAGAGAAGTTGGAATAAGACCCCACTATGTCTCGGCTGGCTATGCCATGGCTATGCCATGGATCTCTGGCCATGCTATCGGTGATTGGATCACCCCCAAATCATCCAAGTTTTTTGGTCATTTTTACCCTCCAGATCCCTCCAGTAAAATAAGATAGCTATAGCAGCTATAGAAAATCACCATTTTATAGCTGGGTAAATCCACTATTTCTATGGCCATTTTCAATATGTTTTTTTATGTTTACCAGAGAGTACCTACTTCAAACGCTGCTTCCCCAATTGCCAGGGTATATTACTCAAACAAATCACTGGCTTTATTTAAATGTTTACCATGCAAACGCCACCTTTTGGTGATCATTTTCCCAGGGTCAAATCCAGTTTCATCCATGGGTGAAACATATTGAGAAAACCAGAGAGTAACATCCATACATACCCATCTTCCCATGAAAACCATTAAATGCCCAACATTACGGGTGTATATATATATATTCAAATATGTACATATATATATATATGTACATATGGATAATAATCTCAGTATTGCATATGTTCCAACATTTTGCCCACTATTCCCATTGGTATCCCATACTATCCCCCCAACAAAATGGTGGTTTTTATACCCCCAGCAAGGTCCCCACCACAAAATGGCGCCAAGGGCAGGATCGCCCTTTATTTGTTACACCCTGGCTGAGCAAGTCGGCATGTCAGGTGCGGAACAGCTGAGTTTACGAGGCAAATAAATTCAACTTATAACTAGGAGATACAACTATAGTTAATGGGGGATCATAGTTGATGATAGTTGGTAAAGCATCAAAAATGGTGATATTCTATGGGATTCCAATGGACTTTTTTTGAGAATATATAAACTGGTTGGTGGTTTGGAACATTTGGATTATTTTACCATATATTGGGAATAATGATCCCAACTGACGAACTCTATCATTTTTCAGAGGGGTAGGTATACCACCAACCAGTAAACCATTAAAAGGAATATCATCAAACGTGCTGGAACATCATAGGAACATATATGAAAATCCTCAAGACGCAGCTGTTTTTTTTAAAGGGATATGATATAACTGACCTGGTATGGGAATATATGGGAATATAGGGGGTAAATCATGATAAAACCAAGCAATCATTGGGATATAGGGGATACAATGGGATGTAAGTTGGATATAGCCTCTGGTGAAATCAAAGGTGGCTAGCTTGCACAATAGAACGAAGCAAATGGAGCTCTATAGCTGCGAACATCTACCATAAATGGTGGTTCATAGAATATCAGCTAGTTCACCAACTATCATCAACTAATTATTATATTATTATTAGAGTCCCATATCTAACAAAAATAGTATTCTATTTCCAGCTAGTCATGTTTGATTACCAGAGGGTAAATGAAAATGGCAATATGGACTATTGACCAGCAATAAATCAGTAATAATGAAGAACCATTGGAACTTTCGCCACCAAGAATCGAATCAACAATGGAATCAACGTGGTATAGAATCGTGAGCATGGGGATATAAGTGGGTAAACCAATTGGTGAGTTAGTCGAACACAATAGTTTGCCATGAGAATATGTAGCAATCAGGGAACAATCCATGCTGGGATCTAAGATTAACGGAAATTCATCACATTTGTTGAGGGATCAATTACATGGACTCCACTGGCTATTGAACGTTTAGTTTGGTTCATATACCCAATAGACATCCCAGGTATGTTTTGGATGACCAAAAGAGCCACGTCACAACATCCCATCTCGGGTGTGGTGACCATCGAGGCATCATCACTGTGCTCTTTGCTTCCATCATGATCGGTGGATACGCACCCACGCATCTTTCAGCGGAGGCAAGTCAGCCTGGTTCTGGTGGGGGAGGGAGCTGGATTTGGAGCTACAAATTGAGTTGCCCGACAACATGCGCCATGATCAATGGTCTAATTTATGTTTATTTTTACCTGTTAAGTTTTACGTACGACCTAAAAAGTGGGGACCCAGAGATTGTTTCACTGGATATGGTCCAATTATTGGGTTCCATGTCGTCAAACCTAATGGGTGCAAGCCAGAATCTCTTGGTCGTAGCCAGCGCAATCGAGGATTTAGAGGAAAACCTGAGTACTTTACGCCTTCAGTATAACAAAAATATCTTTGCCACCAACGGGCATGCATATCTAATCAGCTAATTAAGTAGTTGTTTTCTCATAGGGTGGTTTGAAACATGTATTTTTCATCCCAACTGACGAACTCAGATTTTTCAGAGGGGTAGGGCTCAACCAGCAAGCAGTTTTTGTTTGCAGGGTATTCTCCAAGATTGGCCATGCAGCCATTCCAAACCATGGGAGAGTCAAGTCAGTGGGATACCTTTAAAGATCTGGAATTTTTCGCGGAAGCAATGACTCGAGCCCTTGGTTTATAAACCTATTAGTATGGGAAACCTAAACCCTAAACCTTCAACCTGAAACCTTGAGTTTCTAGTAATTCTAATGTAATTCGTAATTCTAGTATTAAACAATTCCATGATTCCAAGGTTGTTTAGAAAATCGGTTTTCCCATGAATGATTTGGACCACAGTTTGGGCGGAAAATCAACGATTCCCAAGTCTAAGTTGGGGGCGGTTTCAAACCCAAAGCAACCCCCAAGGCCCCCAAGTGACAAAAACCAGAGTTTGAACAAGTTTCCCGTAAATTTTCCCACATTGAAACGATGCTATCCCTCAAAGTTGTTTTTATGTTGCTTATTATTTAAGGAACAAAAGCAACATGTTCAGTGGAGTTTCAACCTCAAATCTTCAAAAAAAACATCAATGTACAAAATACCACTCGAAGCACCTATGGCCTATCTATAACTGGTTGGTGGTTTGGAACATGAATGGATTTTTTTTTCCATTCAGTTGGGAATGTCGTCATCCCAAGTGACGAGCTCCATCATTTTTCAGAGGGGTAGGGCTCAACCAGCAAGCAGTTTTTGTTTGCACGGTATTCCCCAAGATTGGCCATGCAGCCATTCCAAAGCATGGGAGAGTCAAGTCAGTGGGACCCGTGGGATACCAAGATCCAATGATAATGATAAGATATTGATCATTATAAAGGGAATAATCCAATTATGGAAATGAAGGATAATGACAATCCAATTATTGATCCAATTGTAATGATAATGATAATGATTCCAATTATTGGGAAAGTCAGTGGGAATAATGATAAAACTATATCCATCTATATTATTCATGAAGCTATCCATTTCTATATCTGTAACCCTCCCCTTTTTTCCACGCGTCACCGTGGCGCGCACTGCGATGATAGGCCACCACGTTGACCTCGTTCTTTCTGAAGCAGTTGGCCTCTGTTGGAGCCTCTTGGCGCGATTTTGGGAGACAACTTGGTGTGTTGATTGAATACTATATATAAATAAATATACCCTCTGGTTATTTAACATAGCCATGGAAAATCCCTTATAAATGGTAAATATATATAATATATAATATTACATTACTAGTATACTAATATATACTACACATATTGGAATATAACCCCAAGTATTTGTTCATGGGAATGATTAGAATATTTTGTGGGATAATACATATATATATATGTATATGATAAAGTGAACTCCAAACAATATCCTTTAAATATAGATATATATATATATAATGATTTATTACCATATGATATAATAAGAGGTTTCGCCTTGTTAAGAGTAATCATTGTGCTATATATATATATAGGTAGTAATAGCGGCCCATGGCAATACCTGTTGTAGCAGTGCACATGGTGAATTTCAGAAGGAAAATCCCATGACACTTCCTTGTTTAACCCATGTTAAACCACAGACATAATTTCCCTTGTTAACCATGTTAACCCATGTTAAACCACTTTAACCCATGTTAAACCTCCATTTTTGATCGATTTCCCTCCCAGAATTTGGTGCTGGGGACAGCTTCCAGGACACGGTGGTCTTTGTTTGTTGTGGAGTGCAAGCCGTGCAGTATCACAAGGAGCGCTCCGGGCCAGGGCATGTCTAATTTACGGGGAATATCACCAACCAATTTGAATGGGGATGGAGATATATGATATATATATATATATATGTGTGTGTATCTGGTTGGTAGTTTGGAACATGAATTTTAAGACTTTCCATATATTGGAAATAATAATCCCAACTGACTTTCATATTTTTCAGAGGGGTTGAAACCACCTACCAGTATATATATACAGGGATATAATTAACGGGGATATACATGGATATGAATATTGCCAACAATATGGAGAGTTCTAGTTGTGACTCAAAATGCGGTATACAATTTATTGCAATTTTATTGCAAATTTATGCAAATTTATGTTGGGAAAATGAGGTTCTAGCCACGCCAGTTGATTTGAAGGTACCCCATTTTCAGACAAACCCACATTTCATGTTTCAAACGCCGCACATGCTCATTTCGAATTAGACGTTATTATTCTTATTCTTGCCTGATATAGTTTGAATTAATTTGATATGTTTTTGATGAACACACAGGAACTTTCAACATGGGGGGGATATCGTTTCGCTGGCAATACTCTGTAACATGGGCGATCTCAGTTGATCAGCAGCATGGTGAGGTTGTTCTTAGAACCCCCATGTAGAATGCTACGAAAAATATCGATCGTCTGTGGTATGACCAAGAGTATCCAGAAGAAGAACCATTGCTATGGAAAAAAAACAACTATTTATAGATGATTTACCTATGTTTTTGTTGGTTTTCTATAGCTATGTTAATTTCTCAGAGGGTCTTCCATTCACACCCCAAGTCTAACATGCAATGAGACCCGATCCAGTCTGGCGCGTTCGAGAAATGCCAAGTTACCTCCAATTTGGCTTTTCCCAAGAGTCAGAGTTCCCATCTCGCTAGGTCAATCCTGGATAGGTAGAAACTAATCCTTTAGTCTTTTGGAATGGGATTACCTACGTTCACCAACTAAGATTTTTTTTTGCAGGGTATCTGGCTGATTGGCCATGTTAACATCATTAAACCATGTCCGGGAAAATCTGAAGTGTTTGGGGAAATCTCAAAATGGATAGAAACTAAATAAAGACTAACATTCTAGGTTTGGACTTGAACATGGACCTAGAAAAAAAAGGTCTGAATGTCTGCGGACCTATCCTTGCATCAAGCGTTACCCCTGGCCCTGCAGGAAGGCTTTGTCATGTCGCTTTGGGCATCTCGGACAGGGGATTGGACATTATGTGGGTTCAGAATTTGGGGTTCCAACTACGCTCGGCACAAATCTAACATGGAAAACAACAAGTGTAATTTCAGATACAAACATCATCTTTCAAACCCGTTGTAGGCAAGTTGATGCAGGTTTACGGCTTGCAGCTGACAAGGTTGTACAGTAATTAGTTATGTGCATAAAATATGTATATAGCTAAATGTTAAAACAAGGAAACCCAGGCACATAACCAAACAAGAAGGCAAACATATCTACCCATGCACTTCTGATCCCCTGGCCCATGCTCAGAATTTCAATCATTTCACAAGGTCTTTAGTCAGAGCCCAGCCGCTGAATACTTCAACAACCAAGGGTTTTCTTGAAGGAAGTGCAGAAATGACACACTCATTGTTTCAAAAAACGGCCATCAAATGGGTATGGACATGGATCAACAAAGCTCATCCTCAGCCACTGTTTTCCATCCAATCCCAGCCTTGAAAAAAAGGGAATTCAGCTCATGTTGGCGATGCTGAAGAACCCTCCTGGCTTCATTCATGGTCAAATCACATTTTTTCAATCCACCACGTAATCAATGAAATCACCATGAAACCTCCAGGTTTGGAATTCATGGTTGATGGTTAACTCCTAAACATATTCTTTGGTTGAAGCACCATATGTTTCACCCACCATCTGTTTGATGATGAAATTCCCCTAACTTTCTTTGGTTGAATCACCATATATGAACCCACATATGTTGTGTATGAAATCCACCATAAAAGGCACCACTTGTGTCTGGTGCCAGATCATGTTGGCCTGCATCCTGGGACGAGCTGCCGCGGTGTTTCCCATGAGTTTTTTGTCCAATGGGATCAAGTGCCTGGGCGATGGATGACGATGTTGGGGATTGATCTTGGCCAAGAGGTTTTTCAGATGTCTAGCTATACAAGTGGAGATTTATAGGAATTACTGGGAATAGAAATTAGCGATGGGGATAGAAATTGGGGGAATGGGTATTAATGAGGATTACCAGGGACTATTTTAAATAGTTATAGTCTAGTCATGGGTAATCCGCTGGTTATGTGGGGATTTAACTGGGGGTGAACCTGGGTGAACATGCATAATTAAACATCAACTATTTTGATGCGCAAATCAGGGATTTCCACAGTTTTGACCAATATTTTATGAACTTGTTTGTTTGAACGTACCCTCAAATCCAACGATGCTTCATCATTTTGGCCACCTAAAATTGCCATTAATGAATCGTTGTGTGCAAATATCCATGATTCATTCGGGATCAATCACCGGGTTTCTTGTGAAAAAAACATGGCAAGAATCCCTCTTGTTGATGGCAACATCTGGCATCCTGGAGAAACCCTCCGGTCACCAATCCCATTTCTGGATGATCCTGCGCCTTGAAAGCTGTTCTTTCAGGTGGCTTGTGAGCAAGCACGTGCCTGCGGAGAAACAACACTACATCAGCTTCAAACATCAGGTGGCGGTAGAAAAGAGTCAGTGGGTCCCAGGCCATTTCACTGTATTTTTGGGGCCAATGAACTTGTATACCCCAGATATATGGGTTATACTTGGCGAAGAAATTCCCATTTATTAAATGGATAATACCCCCAGTTATATGGAATATCTCTGATTATACATGGGTTGTCTCTGGGTTATAAACCAGTTACCAAGTGGGATGCACATCCAAGTATAGGGACTCTACAGGGCTTATAAATCACTAATTAACAGGGATGCGCATCCAAATCATTCAAATAAGTCTGCTTAGTCCATGTTAGTTGATTCGCTGAAGTCAACTACTGTATAATCCCATTCCCAAAGAATATGAAGTAACCCCCAGAAGCACAGTACCAAACCAGGGTTTTGTTTGGAGCTATTTGATACTAGGGGGGGAATTGTAATCTACGTACCGGGCTGAAAAGTCGGTGGAGGAAGACGATAGTCTCAAGTCTCAAGTATTGTTTCAGATACATTTCATTGGATTTCTATAGATTTCTATCCCATATGCTCACCATGGTGCTGGAATCTTTACCAACATTTGTCACAAAATCACCCAGTTTTGTAGGTAAATATTACAGCAGCATGGAGCATCCCCATACCCATGGCAAATCGAAAGTGTTCAGGAGATGGAAGAGGAGGATGAGCAGGAAATTATTGAAGCGAAATTTGCAGTGGGTCATGCTGACAGAGCTCATGACTTCATTCTCTTAGCGGAGGAAGAGCTGAGCAATTCTGTCCAACCCTGGACTACTATCACATTTGGTTTGGGCTTGCTGGATCTTGGGCGTCGAGACGTACAATTTAATCCAGATCAACTTGAGGATCTCCCCGAGCTCAAAAACACCATTTGTGGGCTGATTATATGTCACCCCGGGCGTATGGTGATCTCACCATCTACACAGTGCATCCTCAACCTGAAATTGGAGGAATTAGATCACTTGTTTTGATCGTGGTGGTGGAGAACCCAGACGACGTACATCCAGACATCCGCAACATCTTTGTGATACCAAAAGCACGTGTATCTGTAGCAGGTGACCTCACGGCATCATTTCTACCAACCCAGAGGGCCAGAGCAAACGGCAACGATGTTCTTTGATGTTAGGACTGAAATCTTTAGTTGTAATTATTGTAATTCTAGATAATTAGCCCATTCAGGTTGCAAATTGTTTAGCTTGCAAATGCTTTGTAAGTTGATGATGGTTTGATGATAATTTGTATATGGAGATGTGTCAAGTCAGTCAAGTTACCCATGATCTTGCCAGTTGGTGGGGAAACTCAACCTCATCCCAGCTATGACTTAGGGATGACTTAGGGTACCTGGGATCCATCGCGAAGTTCCAGCCTGGTGAAAAGCCCCTCCAACTGGCCATTGAAATAGGGGAAACATGAAGAATGGAGGTTTCCATGAATTGGGGTACCCCTGAATCATCTATTTATAATAGATGGATTTTCCATTAACCATCCAGCTCTTGGGGTAATTCCATTTATATGGAAACACCCTATTACATCCCCTGTTTGATGCTTCAAACCCCTCAAAACAACCCTAATGATGCTTAAATCTCATTAAACGCCCATCTAATCATAATATACTGTATATATATATTATATTATGTAGCATGATTTTCTTGGTGAAATCCTGAGTATGATACTGGTTGGTTATATATTTACATATATTAAATCCCAATTAACAACCCATTTGACCAGAAAACCGTTGTGTCTATCACTGCTCAGGCGATGCTGTTCCATTCCGGTCTCCGCGGAGGAATTGGGCCCCTTGGTGGATGTGGTGAAGCCTGGGTTGGGTGGCTGCAACATGCCAGTGATTTGAAATCACCCTAAACCTGGTTGGTGGTTTCAAACATTTTTTATTTTTCCATATACCCTCTGGTAAACATACAAAAAGCTATTGAAAATGACCATTCATAGTGGATTTTCCCAGCTATAAAATGGTGATTTTCCATAGCTATGTTAGTTTACCAGAGGGTATTTGGAATAATCATCCCAATTGACTGGGATTTTTCAGAGGGGTGAAACCACCAACCAGAAACTTGCTGGTGCGTTTTACGTAGGGTTGCTGGATGGGTTGCTGGGGGTTGCTGGGATGACCTGCTTGATAGTTAGCCAGTGGATCATTCCCGAAAATTCCTTACGTTTAGCACCAGTAAGTAAAATGATATGGATGTATATATGTATAATATATATATACTGTGTATATATATATACTGTATATATATATATATATATGCTGTATATATATATATACATACATACATACATACATACATATATGTAATTATATGTATATGGTTATGGGTCAAAAGCCTGGTACCTAGATAGCCTAATAATTAATGGATGGTAATGTCCCCTGTAAATGATCTGTATATGGCCTCTGGTAATACATATATATATATTATAATATTTAAATCACCTCTCTCTATATATATATATAGATATACATATATACATATACATATATACATATATAATCTCTGGTAATTTCACATAGCTATTGAAGCCATGGCTCATTAACCATTTACCTATTCCGAATGGATCCAAATGGTGATTTTCCATAGCAATGTTAGTTTACCAGAGGGTGTATATATATATATATGTATACAATATATATATATACACCAGCAATAATTGATACTATCATGGCTATTCTTAATGAAACAGTCAGGATATAATTTGTTACATCTCATTCATGACACATGTATAATGGCTATATAATCTATATAGTACAACATTTATAACGGGATGCAGATGCAGCATTTAAATGAGTAATGTAAATGGGTATTGAATACATGAAATACATGAATGTATATATACAATACATATATACAGAAAAAAACTATACAGCAATAAATTTGAATATCATGGCATTTTTCAGTGATGCAATCGGGATGTAATTAATTGCATCTCATTAATGCCAATTATGGCCAGTAAGTAATGGTTATGTAAGGGTTATGTAATGGCTATGTAATGGCTATGTAATGGCTCTATAATCTATTTATTGTAAGATCCATAATGGGATGTAATATGTGTAAAAAAAGAAACATCTTTTCTTGCTCAAAAATGGTGAAATCATCATTTTGGATGTTTTTTTTTCCCCCACCATTTTTGGTTACGTTCTTCCGTTCCCATTGCTCAAATCCCCCGATCTTAGAGGTTGGTGCTGTCGCTGGAGTTGGGAGCGTCCCTCGGTCGATGGGGAATTTTTTCATAATCTGCGGTCAACAGATAAGCAAAAAAGAAGGCGAAAGGGCACCACATTGTAGCCTATCAACCTTGTAATATCTTATAATTAGTGATGAAACATGTCATATCCAAGGAAGAAAAAGAGCTTCGCAGCTTGTCGTCGACTTGCCATCTGATCTAGGACGATTTTCTAGGACGATTCGTTGGCCCAGCTGTGATAAACTCGGGGTTTTCATGACCTGAATCCTGACCTGATTCCAAGGAGATCCATGGAAGATTGATGATGATTGATGTGAGCTGACCATTTCTGAATTCTGGATCCTGACCACTATAGCCATTACGTTTTTGTCTCGTTTGGGTTGTAGCTATGTACTGTATCTCACGAGAACTTGGATGATAGGGGATAATACGCGTATGCAGTGGAACATCCCTCATTTAGTTCAATGTGTTTCCTGGTTGGTGGTTTGGAACGTTTGGATTATGACTTTCCATTCAGTTGGGAATGTCATCATCCCAACTGACTTTAATATTTTTCAGAGGGGTAGGGCTCATCCCAACTATAAACTTCCATGGCTAGGCCACGGTACACTGAAGTATTTCCCAGCGGAGCTGATGTCATTGGAGGGTTTAGTAACCCATGATCTTAATGGGAGCCATCATATGTCTTGGTGGTGAAAAAAACCAGTGATGTTTGTTGGTTTATGTTACCAAACAACTGGTTGGAAACCATAGGAAACCATAGGAAAATGTGGGTTTAATGGGATTTATAGCGGATTTATAGCAAAAAAGAACGTACCCTCTGAAAAACTAACAGGTTGCGACATTGAAAATGGCCCAGTCGAAATAGTTGCTTTACCCAGCTATAAAATTGTGATTTTCCATAGTTCTGTTTGTTTACCAGAGGGTACACAAACAGACATTTGATATATCATACATCCAACATATCCACCTAAGTATCCAGAACTCCAGCCTTGTCAGCCTAGTGATGTTCACCAACTTAGCTTACATAAACAAGTCAGATATAACAAAATGGACATTCAAGAAATGCAAAATCTCCACATGGAAACAGACAGAAGCTGGAGTATTTTGGAGCCGTTTCTGGTGATGGTTAAATCCTCATGTGTTGATGCCTAAATCATCCTAAATCCCTATGTGTCACGATGAAATCAGTCATATAGCCTCTGGTAAACATACATAAAAAAGCTATGGAAAATCCACCCATTTTCAAGTTCGGTAAATCAACTATTTTCATGGGTCATTTTCGCCACGTTAAATTACGAGGGTAGTAAACCTCTGCCAAGGTTTACCTGGTTTACCTGGTTACCGTTTACGAACTTGGGGGAAACAACTCATCAGAATTTCCTCAATGGGAACTGCAACCTTTTGGCCCAGGTATGTCGATGAAGACAACGGCCCTGGGACAAAGGATTCCTTGGTCTATGCAACTTTTGTCATGATCTGTGCCATGGCGATAAAGCGATTGGCAAGTTGGGTCGTTTTTGTTGGGCCCATGTATAGTAATGTATAGCATTGTATAACTAGGTTATGATATGTAATGTCATAAACCACCCATTTGGGAATGGTAACCATACCACCTATTTATGGTGAGATTTGGGATGATTTATTATTGATTTACCAACATTACTCACTTCCCAGCTGGGATGCTTCGAATACCCAGCTAGTTGGACAAGACAGAGCTTTCCAGCTTTCCCCTGGGTGGATTTTTTCAAAATGGTCTTTTTTTCATCAGAATTGGGGAGACAAAAACCACCGGATTTTGTTGATCCACTTGGATCCATTTGGATCCATTTGGGCACCACTAGTTACATTTGTGCGTGCTAAACGTAGGGTTGCTGGATGGGTTGGGTTGCTGGGGGGTTGCTGGGATGATGAAACGGATAGATTATTGATAGCTAGCTATTGTGGATCATTCCTACTCAAATTCCCTACGTTTATTAGCACAAGTAAGATGATGTTAATGGGAATATAGTGGGAATATGAATGGGCTGAATGGGATTAAAATATAACCAACAAGATTAACTGGATTTCTTTGGTTATTTGATGGTCCCCCAAAAGGTCGCGGCGATGGGATGGCGATGGGGATCGTTGCGCCGTTGCGCCGTTGCCCCGAGGCGTTTATCTCGTGGTCGCTTGAAGCAGACTGGAGACTCTGATGCCGAGATGGTAATAGAATGGGGATATCATTGGGAATGTAGCCACAGAATTGGGGATTGTCAATAACATATCAATATACGTATAACATATATGTATATATATATATTTATATTATATATATATACATCTATATTATACATATTTGAAGGGGGATTTGAGCATTAATGGTGATATTTCAATTTTGTACTGGGAAGATAAGCAACAATTGAGGGTTTGACTTACAACCACCAAAACAACTAACCAATATCACATACAGGGATATATTAAGAATATAAGGAAACATCATTGAATAGATTGAACTTGCAGGAAACAAAACTGGAAATTCAAAGTTGTAGAAGTAATATGTCAGAATCTGTAGCTCAGCTGAAGAAACTTCCATGACGTCAGCGCTGTGGATTTACCCATTAAAAATGGTGATTTTCCATAGTTATGTTAGTTTACCAGAGGGTAACAAGTGTAGGCATGATATGGGTTTCCACGGTTCGAGACAACCGACCAAATTGGGAAGAAAACCAGCAAACGACAGCTGTGTTGCAACCTCTCTCTGTACGTAGCAGAATTGCCACATGGTTCTTGCTCCTTCGTGCATGAATATTCTATGTATTTCAAGTAGCACATGCATGCTTTGATACTTATTAATGGATGCATTGCACCAAGCCACTTAGATTATCTAATCGTTTCTTGGGATTAGATAGGCTTACCAGAACTCCCGCATGCCAAATATCCAATTTACTGTTGGACTTTGAGCAGGGTCAAGCTGAGGATGGGTCCCCAGGTCCCCAGGTCCCCAGGCTGTCGGTGTTTAACTCGCATGCATGTACCAACCCAAAATATGAACTACATTGACATAATCATAACTTAATGTGATATATCGGGGGGTACCATGTATAGTTATATACGTATATATATATATATATATAAAATATCCAGGGAGCGAGAGGGAAAGAAAACTAGAGACAACAATAGTTGTCACTTAATGTGGTAACCCACAACTAGACCCCATAAAATGGTTGGTTTAATTCTCATTTAACCAAAATGAACCCATTGCATCCCCATAACAATGGCATATTAACCATATAACATGGCCCATATGTTTGCCATCCACATATATATATATATAAACATGATATTCACCAAATGCCAAATTGCACATGGTAAATATTCCATTACATATAATAATTATGAACTACATGTTATTACAGGTACTAATGCCATTTAATTATCGTCATATTCTGCCCTTGTCATTATCCCACTATTATTTGCCCAATATTATCCCATTATCATTTCATTAACCATCATTTCATCCCATTATCACAATATTATCCCATGATTTTCCCATTAAGTGCTTACTATCCAAATATTATGCCACACATATCTATTAAACAAATTATCCCATTACTATAATCCCCATGAAAAATGGCATGAATCTGAGTAAATTATAACGACCTCACTATTCTCCCGAGCCCTGGAATCATGGTTTTCATAGGGAAATCATCCCCAAATGGCCTTTCACTATTCAGGTTAGTGAAATATTATAATTTACCCAGATGAATGAACCAACTGTTTTTTGGAAATCATTGGAAATATATTAAGCAAATTATCCCATTATTTTTATCCCTATATCTACAATGTGGGGCCCCCAAGATAGCTAAGTTGGTTTATAACTCCAATAACTATGGTTTATGGTGCTTATAACTATAGTATTCATGGGGTGATTCTAAACCAACTTACAACTGGGGGGCCCACATTGTATATCTAACACATATCTCTATTTCATAGAATTGGATGATGGGAAAATTTTAACCGGAAAGCCCTACCAATTTCATGGTAAAAACCCATGGGTTTCCGGTTAAGATTTTCCCTTCAACAATTTACAGGAAAGCCCTATATTTGATGGTAAAAACCATGGTTTCCTGTAGATTTTCCCTGAAAAAACAATCCAATGACTATTACAGCTAACCACATCTCCTGGTGCTCGCATCATCAAAAAACCCAGGTCTTCGGTGGCTCGACCGCCTTCACCCTGCGCTCCCTGAACATTCCCTATGGCCGCCCGGCGGGACGTTGGGAAAAGCCATGAGAAAAAGCCATAGGAAAAGTGGTGATTTCACGATTTCATTGGGATTTCATTGGGTTTTCCCATGGTTTTCCGGTTTTCCCAGGGTTTTCCCATGGTTTTCCCATCTTTTTCCTATGGCGAAGTTTTTCTGCACAGTTCACCTGCTCACTTCACCGGCAGGCGTACGCAGGTACTCGTATTCATGGATGGTCACCATGATGGAGATGCTCACCTAAAAATCCCCTGAAGTAAGTGGTTAAGCCTACTGCAAGTCCCCATTCAGTGGGCTTATCCCATATGAATAATATATATATATATGTAATATTATTATAATAATATATATATATACATAGAGATTTTAATATTTATATATTAATATATATTCATAAGTGGCTAAACTAATCCACATACAGGATGATCCTCCGGTTTGTTTGTTTGAAATTGGCTACACCCAAAGGTTTTTCATCACTTTTCCCACTCAATTGGCTATTCTGGGGGTATACAAAAAATTAGACGGAACCATATCATGAAAAAATATTTTATTCATATGTTCCTATGATTTTCCCATATTGTCCCATTAAAAGCTTCCATAATATTCATGTAACATGGTTATTATTACAATCCGATCATTTTCCTATCATTCCCATATTATTCCGTCATATTATGGTGCCATTAAAACCTTATTATGGTTCCATTTATAACGGATGTTTTTCATCCCATATTTTTTCCCATCCTGCAGGTCTGGTCTAGTTCCAATCCATCCCCGGAAACGAGGTGATGAGGTGGCCATGGATGCATGCTACTTGGAACGACGAGTTTTAAAACTGGACACCTGTTGTAAGCATGAAACAGGATTCCGTGGGGTCATGGGTTAGGGAGTTGTACTATGTTGTACTACCAAAAATTGGGGAAAATTGTGATAATCCTTTTCGGATTGGTAAAGCTTGTTGAAGGAACTAGAAAACCAATGAGATGGGCAAATGGGGTGTGGCTTTAATGGCTCAAGTGGAAGGGTGGAGATGAAGAGCCATCAATTTCATGGGTGTTTCAAGCAACAAACTATGTGATAATATGAGAGATAGCCATCTAGATATAGGGTGAACTAAACCATCCAGTGATAAAGGGGTACCCAAAAATGACTATGGAAACCCACAAAAAAACCAGGGATCTGGAGGGGCAGCTGTGAACATCCAATCTGAGTAAATTTCATCACGAGCTCACTGTTCTCCCGAGCCCTGGGAATCATGGTTTTCGTAGGGGAATCATCCCAAAATGGCCCTTCAGGCCCTTCAGGTTTGTGAAAGATTGTAATTTACCCAGATAGGTTTGGGTGATTCTACCATTCTTATACCAACCAATAAGATAATCATTATTATACCATTATTATACCCAGATAATGCCAGATAATCAGACAATATTCCATGATTATTATCCCCATAATAAATGAAACCCAGATAATCAGATAATATCCATTAATAAATGAACCAACTGATTTTTGGAAATGGGAGTTGGTTTACTTGAAGCCCTACACACATGGAGAGTTGGAACCCAAAAAACAAAATGGAAGCAGCAAATATAAAGGGTAAACTGTCGCCCATCGGTGAGGGGCTGTTTAGTTGGTCAAATGCAAGGCATCTACTGTATATATAAGTTATAAAATGTTATAAGTTTATTCATAAAAATGCCACCTTCAAACTTCAAACCCTTATATATGTACTTCAGGGAGCGTCTCGGTCAGTTGTCTTGGTTAAAGGAGTCCCTAAATGATATTGATAGATATGTTTCTCATCATTTTCAGGTTTCCGACTTGTCTATTGTTTCTGTCTATCTGGGGGGTCACTATATCACATGCTGCGACTATAGGGTTGTCCCAAGTGTGGCGGGTCAGGTCTGCCATAGATCATTCAATCCTGCTTGATGACTGTGATTGGAAGGGTCACCGCAGAACAAGTAGCGATGAACAATTGCCTCTTGAAACGCAAGCACTCCAGAGTAATGTCATCTAAAATTCCATTGCCAAATCAATAACAAAGATACCTTCTTGCCATTTCACCATCATTTTTCGGGGGGAGCACCGCAAAAAAAATCAGCAACGCTACACAAAGGGATCTATCGATAGAAAAGAATCCTCAAAGCTCCAACAAATAATAACGTGTTCTTTACATTTTTTTACACTAATTTTGACTGCCTAACATAATCATTACCCTCTGGTAAACGTTTACATAACGAACTGGAAAATCACCATAGCTATAGCTGGGTAGTCATCAACTATTTCGACTGGGCCATTTTCTATGTCGCAAACTGTTAACGTTTACCAGATATTAGCTATCATAAATCACATAAATCCCATGAAAAACCCACATTTTCCTATGGTTTTCCTATGGTTTTCCTATGGGTTTTCCACCATACATTGTGGCTTCCCTGGCAATCTCGTCAGATCTCAGCATCCATGGATCATCCTTTGCCGAAAAGCCGAGGCTTGTACGGCAGCGCTGCGGAGAGTGGCATCTTCTATCGCTGGGGGATGCAGTTCCGGCGGAAGGTGTTGAAACCTCTGCTGGTGCCGCGGGGGATCCGCGGGGGATGGGGATCAGTCTGGGAGGTTTCTGCAGATTTTTTTCGAGGCAAAAAAACTGGGAAAAAATGCCTTAAGCAAAGGCCAAAATTGTTAGAGAACTGAAGTGGAAAGCGCATATTTGTCTGTATGTCCCAAAAAAATATTTGGTGTCATCCCCTAGTCATTAACTGTTTCAAGTGTTTGCAATATGAACGGGGGATGGGATTGTATTATGGTATATTCCCATTGTGTATCAACAATTCTAATCACTACAGTAATTATTCCGTATTATCATGTATTATACATACACTATATATAAATTAGTGGAATGATTGGTAATACTATATTATCATGTTGCTATTAATTCCACTATAGTCCCATTCTAGTAAATTATATATTATCTAAATCCATTATTACTATACATATAAATCACACATGGTGTCGTCCATTTGAGTTGTTTCGAGGCAAGTCTTCCAACTGTTCTACAATGTGGGGTTCTCAAGCGATAGCTGAGTTGACGCACGTAACTGGTTGTTTCTTAAGATGGGGGATCCCCAAGTCACCATGGTGGTCTAATGACTTGGATGATTTGGGGTATCCCCATTTTAGGAACCTCTAACTTGCTGAAGTGTTGGATTTTTCAGAGGGGTAGGGTTGAAACCACCAACCAGAAACCTGAGAATGAGAATTTGAAATTGGCTGGTACCCTCTGGTAAACTAACATAGCTATGGACAATCACATCTTTCAATGGGAAAATCCACTATAAATGGTCATTTTCAATAGCTATTTTGACATAACCAGAGGGTAACATTGAACAGGTTTGCGACAACCATTCAAGAGATAGGCTACAATGGGGTGTCCTGTCAGTAAGTTGCTTCAAACCACGAGGATCATCCCACAAATCCTGGTGAAGCACGGTGTTTTCATGTTTTTTTTTACGTAAGTCCCCAATTTTTTCTGCTGCTTGGTGGCTTCAAACCATGGAATTTCATGACTTTCCAGAAAGTTAAGTTGGGAATGTCATAATCCCAACTGACGAACTAGATTTTTCAGAGGGGTAGGGCGAAAAACCACCAACCAGATATATAATTCAGCCAGATATTAGCTATCATAAATCAGCTATAAATCCCATTAAACTCACATTTCCCTATGGTTTCTCCCATTTTTTCACGGGTGAACTACCCCCAGTCACCGTCACCAGCGTCACCGTCGCGTCAGCAGGTGGGAAAATCGTCGGATCGCTCCCAGCAACAGGAGATCAACCTGACGGAAGCCGTTCCCTGGCGATCGACCGGACCGAGGGACCGTAACGGGATCTACCGTTGAGGGCCTGGGCAAAAACGGAGAGTTTTCACAGTCCATGGGGAATAGCATCTAAAAACCAACCAGTAGCCTCTGGTAAGATATTGAAAATGGCCCATAGAAATAGTGGATTTACCCATTGAAAATGGTGATTTTCCATAGTTATGTTAGTTTACCGGGTATTGTGGAATGACAGAGGGTTTTGAATTGTGCCAACCTTACGCAACAGGTATGGGTTGGATTCGCCAGTGAAAGCTCGATGGTTAATCTACCTCTCTTGTGTGGGGCCCTGGTTCACCTTCTCTTGTTGATATTTCTAAATTTGTTGCTTTATATTCATGTTCTGGTACTGATGCTTTATTTTGCTGGTTCACACCACTATTTATAGCTTCTGTCAGTTGATCTACCCTTATTTGCGAGTCAAGTTCACACATCTGGCTAAATTATAAAGACCTCACTGTTCTCCCGAGCCCTGGAAATAATGGTTTTTATAGGGAAATCATCTCCAAATGGCTTTAATTCAGGTTGGTGAAATATTATGGCCTTTACCCAGACACATATAGATCAAGACTTGCCCCAGTCACTCCCCCCCGGATTTTGTTTCACAGTTTGGGAACTGGAACGCATCACCATTTATCTTAGGTAAATCCTCGAAGTAAATAGGCCATCAAGACTGTAACAAATTGCCCTGTAGGTATCCAGCTATTGTACATCCCTAACTTATATATATATATACATACATACATACATACATACATATATATTCTTATTTAATATTTGATACCTTATGAAATCCCATATCAAACTCCATATAAAACATTATTTTTCTTAACAAAAACATGGTTAGAACCCTATAGTTCTTGATGATTCAACCAGCATTTTGTGTCCCATCGTGGTTGTTGACTTCCAAAAACGGCGCCCAAAAAAAAAGGTGATCCACGATGCCACGCAGCGGCAACAGAGCAGTGCTTTCGGTTTACGGAGGCCCTGACCTCAGGGCCGCTTAGGGCCGCTTATGGGTCCGCTGCTGGCTGGTGGTTGAAGGGCCAGGATTGGGCCCTCCAGTGATGTGAACATTGGTTTATTTTATGGGGCCCCATCCAAATTTGTTTTTTATAAGTGTTATACACTATGGTTATTATAGAAATAAACCAACTCAGCTAACGAACTGGGGCCCCATCCTGTACAGTACGTCGTGCGTATGTGGATCGTATGTGGGGGTTTCCATCAATGGGAGTACAGTACGAATATAGTGGTGGTTTTCTGAAATGGGGGTACTGTACCCCAATAGCTGGATGGTTTATAATGGAAAATCCAAACAAAAAATGGATGATCAAGGGGGGTATCATTTGAGTATCAGATGAAATGACTATTGGGAAAGTACCCCTTCAATTATATAGTGAACTATGGTTTTTAAATCCGGGGTTAACATTACAGTACAGTACGTAAGTATGTATTGAACAACTATTGAACATGGCCATTGACATAGTTGCTTTACCTATCAAACATGAGGATTTTCCATAGCTACGGTAGTTTACCAGAGGGTATGTATGTAGTTAACATAATTTTCATGTGAATGTTGCTATGTATTCATTCATGTCTGGTACTCTACTGTGCTGTACTGTATTGTATTGTTTTTTTTTTGTATTGCATTGTATTGCGTTGGGTTGGATTGTATTGCATTGTCTAGTATTGTACTGTTTTGTCTTGCATTGCACTGTTATGTTTTGTATTGCATTGTATTGCATTATATATATATATATTGCATTTCATTGTTTTGTGGTGTATTGTATTGTACTGTACTGTATTGTATTGTGCTGTTCTGTATTGTATGGTATGCTTTCCTTATGTCACTTATGTCAAATTATTGCAGGCGCAGCACAGCGGCCATTCTGCCGGACTCGTACAATGCCATGAGTTTGTGGCTTGGCACGGCCGGTGATGACTCGTGGATGGGGATTGAGGGATGCAGCCCATGGGAATTGGATGGATTTCAGTCATGGCCATCTCATGGGAATTTGACTTGGTTTTCTCGGATAGGGATGGGCTTGATGTTGATATACTTGGAGGATCATCCCAACTACAGTAGCAAGTGGTGAGTGATTGTGGGGTTTTCCTTCAGTTTCCCCAGGTGTAGATGGGATAGTGGCGGATTGGGAACTTGTAATCAGGGTTACTCTCTGGTAAACTAACATAGCTATTGAAAATGGCCATAGTGGATTTACCCATTAAAAATAGTGATTTTCCATAGCTATGTTAAATTACCAGAGAGTACTCTCTGGTAATTTAGCATTTCATTTTTTTTGGATGTGAGCAACGTGATTTGAAGCAACCGCAGCACATAAACCAACACTACTGACTAGAATCAAGATCTGTTCTTTGATGTTCCCTAACCCATAGGATCCATGTATGCTATATATGCTAACATTGGGGGTATATTGATGGTACATGTTACCATATATACCATACATGGATCCTATGGGTAAGAATAGCAGTGGTTATTGGTTGTGAGGACCAGCTGATTTTCGAAATGCGTGAAGGGCGTAAAATCTCGGCATCTTGGCGTCGGCCATACTCGATCCGGCTTCGCCACGATGAAATTCACGTGAAATGGCGAGGCACGCCATTTCTCGCGTGTGAAAATACCATCTGGTTATTTAACATAGCCATGGGAAATGACCCATTTATAGATGGTTTACCTATGTTTACCTATTAAAAATGGTGGTTTTCCATGGCTATGTTAAATAACCAGATGGTAACTATTTTTAATGGGTAAATCCACTATAAATGGCCATGTTCAATAATTCGATACTATAACTATGCCATACTATTCCAGAGAGGTCATCATACAGACCATTATAATAAAAAAAAAAACGCAAATGGATGTGGGTTGCGCAACATCTGCGCGATGCGGAGGGAGTACATGTTCGAAGTCCAAGCTGGCGGCCCTAGTCACTAGTGGTCAACCTATGAACATCCCATATGTTTTCGTGGGGGGTTATTATACCAACCATACCTAAGACCCAGAAAACAAAGCCATGTGCGTCCATGATTTTCACTGTGAAACCTCATTTTAAATATGTGTTTCTTAGTGATAAAAATTCCCAACTTGGTATGTATAAAACCTTATAAGTTCATATAGTTTTCCAAGCCAAATCCACATTTTTTATTCATGGTAAATCCACATTTTTTCCATGGCATTTCCCCATGAAACCGTGAGATTTGGCACCTCTGATCCCGCGCACGTGGAGAATGTGGAAGATGCCATGCAGCACGCTGGCACAGGCCCGGCGTGGAAAGAACAAGCCGCGGTTGCTGCGGTTGGCAACCGGTTCGCCATGAATCACCATGAGAGTTTGGGATTAGTTTGGGAATATATGACAGAATAGATCATGGAATATATAATTATATATATATATGATATAACATGATATAACTCATATCATGGAATATTGTGGATGGTCCATATATCATCGGATGTATCATGGAATCCCATGGATATCCGCAACTTTTTTTTGGAAAACTAGAGAAACTAACGTGGGTTTCCTGCAGGTATTTGTGGGATGGAATTGGACAACATCAAAATCAGACAATGACATCCATTCATAGGTTACCCTCTGGTAATTTAACATAGCTATAGAAAATCACCATTTTTATCCATTTTTAATAGGTAAACCATCTATAAATGGTCCATTTTCCATAGCTATGTTAGTTTACCAGAGGGTATTTTCCCAACAAGATTCCATTAATTCCCAGAAATGCCTTCAATGTGGGGCCCCCCCAGTTATGTTTGTTGGTTTAGATTCACCCCATGAATATTATAGTTATTTGCGCACCATAAACCATAGTTATTGGAGTTACAAACCAACTTATAGCTATCTTGGGGGCCCCACATTGTTATTATACTAATGTTGGTTTCCCCAAACCCCATATTTTCGTGATCAAACAATGGCACCTCTCCACACGACCACCGGCAGGTGAATCGGAAGCCTTGAGCAGCGTCACGGACGAAAGCGACGAGGCTTCCTTCGGGTTACGAAGGGAGGCGACAAAGATACCCTCTGGTAATTTAACATAGCTATTGAAAATGGCCATTTATAGTGTGGATTTATCAATTAACAATGGTGATTTTCCATAGTTATGTTAGTTTACCAGAGGGTAGGCTTCAAACGTGCAAAAAGTTGAAAGTCACCAGGATTTTGACAAAATCTAGGGAGAAAATGGGAGAAATCCTTAAACGCATATTTTCATGAACGCATAAGGGTTTGACAGACAAGAATAAGTTGAATACGGGTTCAACCTGCAAAGCTGGTGATGGCACAAGAAAGGGGGGGTGGTTGATCGACAAAAGCGGAGAGATCACCCGCAAAATGGAGTTTTCGCTAAGACAACAGGCATTATCAACAAAAGAACAAGTACAATAGCCCTTTGTTGAAATCCATATTAGACAACAGCCTGGGTGAATTTCGCCACAGGAAATGGTTGCTGACTGCCAGAATGGTAGAAATGTTGAATGTTGAATCATCATGCTAAACAGGTTCTTTTAGCCAGGTATTCCCACAACGAGTATTGCCACAATTGTTGTATGGTTGTTCAACCCATACCCTCTGGTAAACGTTTACAAAAAACTATGGAGAATCACCATTTTTAATGGGAAAACTCACTATAAATGGCCATTTTCAATAGCTATGTTAGTTTAGCAGAGGGTAGTTCTTGACAACCATGGTTGTTGCTACCCCGTTGGTCCCTTAAGCACGGTTGTTGCTACGAGCAAAACAGCTATCCGATGTCCGACCCAATTTCCGACCGGTCAGTCTATGGTCCAAGCTTATGCAGGTTATATACCCAATGTGTAGTTGCAAGGTGGTGCCCCATAGTTAGCGTTCAGTTGGTGCAAATAACTCCAATTTCACTATGGTTTGTAGGTGATATATCTATAGTTAATGGTGTTTATAAACTAATTTATAACGGGGCCCTTGTTTTTTTGACCCCCCACCTTGTTTTTTTGACCCCCCCTTGTTTTTTTGACCCCCCACCTTGTTTTTTTGTCCCCCTGTTTTTTTAACCCCCTAACCTTGTTTTTCTGACCCCCCACCTTGTTTTTTTTTGACACCCTGACCTTGTTTTTTTGACCCCCCACCTTGGTTTTTTGATCCCCCACCTTGTTTCTTTGACCCCCCACCTTGCTTTTTTGACCCCCTGGATCTGCTTTCCGGACCCCCATGAAATTCATTAAATTCCTTGGGATTGATATTTTGTTTCCGCGGCAGGTTTTGGATTTTTTTTGGTTCCTGGTTCTATGCTTTCCTGCTTCTCTGCTTTTCTGCTGTTCTGCCGTTCTGCTTTTCTGCTTCTTTGCTTCTCTTCGTTTCTGCTTGTCCGCCTTTTGCTTTTGCTGCTTCTCTGCTTGTCTACCTCTCTGCTTTTCTGCTTTTTGCGTTGCCTGCTTTTTGCTTTTCCTGCTTCTCTGCTTTTCATGCTTCTCTGCTTTACCGGCTTCTTTTCTTTTCTGCTTCTCTGCTTTTCTGCTTTTGTGCTTCTATGCCTTTCTACTACTACTACTATTCTACTTTTTCTTTTCCTCAGTCATGCGTTTTTTGCCGCTCTACTTCCTGCTCCTCTGCTCCTCTGCTTCTCTGCTTCCTGTCTTTCCTACTTTCTGCTTCTCTGCTCCTGCTTCTTCTGAAACCCTAAATAACACCGTAAAGAAACATAAATGAAACCCTGAATGAAACCCTAAATGGAACCTTAAAGAAACCCTGAATGAAACCCTTAATGATGCCCAAAGAAACCCTGAATGAAACCCTGAATGAAACGTTAAAGATGCCCTAAAGAAACCCACATGAACGATTGAGAATCTTGATAAGAATTCCTGATAAGAAACCCGTCATAAAACACCCTGAATGAAACCCTAAATGAAACCCTAAAGAAACCTTAAAGAAACCCACATGAACGTTTGAAAACCTTGACAAGATTTCCTGATAAGAAACTCTTTATAAAACCATACATAAAACCCTAAATGAAACCCTAAAGAATACCAAA